CGCAATATAGGTTTTGAGGCTAAGTTCAAGTTTGAAGGTAATGTCATTTCAATCTCATTTAGAGGCCTCAGAGATTTCACTAGTTTCTCCACAGAGCCCACTGCAGAGACTGTATTTCCCTGAGTTTGGGGCACAAGACTCTAGTCATCACCCCTCCCACCCAGGGAAAGCCCCAAACCAACTGCTGGCCTCTCCAAGAAAGAAACTGAATTTCACACAACCTCCGAAACTGAGATTGAAACCAAGATTGGCCCATCTCAAGGAGCGTCCTTCAGCACATCACAAACGCCTGTGACACTGAGCCTCGGCCCAGTTCTTGCCCTTCCTTCCTCTCTGTCTCTCATGTCTCCCTGTCACTCTTTCTCACCTTCCCCTTTTTGTTCCTCAATGGCCTGTCTTCCTCTGACCTAAGTTTCTCCCTTTCTTGGTTTCTCATCGTTAATTGCAACACTGTTTTATATTTTAATATAACTGAGTTCGCTTAGTCCATCAGCTCCTACCATTAGAGAGGCAGAAAGAGACAACAGGAAGGAAAAGGAACCCCAGAGAAAGAGAGACACAGAGAAAAGAAAAGGAGCAGGGACCAAGAGGGAAACCAACAGTGACATAAGAGACCGTAGGTTAAAAGAATAAGAAGAAGCCAAGCTATAGGCCAAGATATTTTTTTTAAAGATTTATTCATTTAGGGGCGCCTGGGTGGCTTCAGTCATTTAAGCATCTGCCTTCAGCTCAGGTCATGATCCCAGGGTCCTGGGATGGAGCCCCGCATCCGGCTCCCTGCTTGGCGAGGAGTCTGCTTCTCCCTCTACCCCTCCCCTGCTCATGAGCTCTCTCTCTCTCTCTCCAATAAATAAATGAAATAAAAAAAGATTTATTCATTTATTAGAGAGAGAGAGAGAGCACATGCAAGAGCTTGTGGGAGGGACAGAGAGAGAATCTCAAGCAGACTCCCCACTGAGCGTAGAGCCCAACACGGGGCTTGGGGCTCAATAACACAACCCTGAGATCATGACCTGAGCCGAAAGAGTTGGATGCTTAATTGGCTGAGCCACCCAGGTGCCCCTAGACCAAGATATTTAAAGGAGGCATCAGTGGCTACTCTTCCTCCATCACATCTGCTCAGCCCCACCCCTGTAGATTTTGCCTAGAAACTCTCTCGTCCTTTCCATTCTCCTGCTGCTGCCTCCATGTAAATATAAGCTCTTGTCATCTCCTTGCTGGTCATTGCACAACTTTCCTAACTGGTCTCCGCCTTCTGCTTTTCCCTCCAGCCCCTCAAGTCCCATACCCCAAACCATTCTTCATGCAGCTTCCAGACTCATTTTTCTGATGTACCAATCTGCATGAGTCCCTCTCTTGCTTAAAAATCTTGGTGACTCCCCATCATAATTAGAATGAAATCCAAACTTCTTTTCTTGGTTTTAAACCCTTCAGAATGGGGGCACTCGGGTCATGATCCCGGGGTCCTGGGATTGAGCCCCGCATCGGGCTCCCTGCTCAGTGGAGAGCCTGCTTCTCCCTCTCCCTCTGCCTGCCACTCCCCTTGCTTGTGCTCTCTCTCTCTCTCTCTCTCTCTGTGTCAAATAAATAAATAAAATCTTTAAAAAATAAATAAATCCTTCAGAATGTGTTCTCAGCTTACCTCCCAAGCCTCATCTCTGCTCCTTCTATTTGTACCCAAACTGTAAATAAAGTGAAGAAAAAAAAGGAAGTGAAGAGATCAGTTCAGATGGCCTTAAGTTCAATGAAATACAGGACAGCTTCACCAACTGAGAGTAAAGGGGTAAAGTTGAGGTGTAAGAGGCACAGAGATTTAGGACATCCCCTGCAGGAGTATAACAGGAATCAAGAAAGAAAGATTGAGAACTACTGAGGGTTCTCTCAGGTTAGATGGCCAGGAGGAGCAGAAGGCCTCTTCTAGTGACATGACTCTCCTGCCATGTGTGGCAACCTAGGAGAAAGCCCCAAGAATGAGACCATTGAGTTTTACACAAATCCAAGTTTTTCAAGGTTGTCTTTTTTTTTTTTTAATATTTTATTTATTTATTTGACAGAGAGAGACGCAGCGAGAGAGGGAACACAAGCAGGGGGAGCGGGAGAGGGAGAAGCAGGCTTCCTGCCGAGCAGGGAGCCCGATGCGGGGCTCGATCGCAGGACCCTGGGATCATGACCTGAGCCGAAGGCAGACGCTTAATGACTGAGCCACCCAGGCGCCCCACACACAACCAAGTGATTCTGAAGTGCTAGTGAAGGGCTGCCTGGGTGGCTCAGTCGGTTAAGCACCTATCGATTTTGGTTCTGGTTATGATTTCAGGGTCCTGAGGTCAAGCCCCACATTGGGCTCTGCCGTGGGCGTGGAGCTTGTTTAAGACTCTCTCTCTCCCTCGCCATCCCGCCCTGCTCAGGCTCTCTCTCAACACTTAATGCCTGACACCCCTCTCCCAGGCCAAGTTCAATGACTTTTCTATGGACTGCCATAAGCCCACCGTCACACTTATTCTAATTATCTGCTAACTTTCCTGTCTTCCACGCTGGTTTTTGAGTTCCCAGAGGGCATGGGAACTGTCTTTCACATCTGTGTCCTCAATGCCTTGTACAAGGTGCTCAATAAACGTTTGTGAAATAGAAAGCTAAAGAGGTGGAAGGAGAATGAAAAGAAACAGTAGTCTTATCGGCCTAGGAAGACGTGAAAGGCAAAGGGCCTCAGGAAGGGGGAGGAAAGCAGGAGAAATGGCTCATACACATCCTGAATGTTACTTATGTGTCACAGGATCCCAAGACCACTCAGAAACATTTTTCCAGAGAACGGCCACATGCCCAATGCCACGGTGGTGGGGGGTGGGGGGGTGGGGAGGGAAGGGCTTTAGCCATTCAAAACCCTCAAAATGAAAGCATACCAACATCAATAAAAATAATCATGAGGTTTGAAATGGCCAATTTTCTCAATCTTCTGAAACATGGATAAAATCATCTTTAGAAATCTTTTTTTTTTAACCTACAAATTAAGTAAAAACTGGCTCATTTTTAAGAATGTTCGTATCAACATCTTTCATAGTAGCCAAAAACTAGAAACAAACCAAACATCTATCAACAGAAGAATGGGTAAATAAGAGAGTATATTCACACAATAAACTTACATCATAATAAAAAAAAATACTGATAAATGCAACCACATGGATGAATCTCAGAAACATCATGTCGAGTGAAAGAAGCCAAACCCAAACAGTACATTCTGTGTGACTTCATTTATATGACATTCAAAAGCAGGAAAAACTAATCTATGGTGATAGAGGTCAGAAAGTGGTTGGTTATCTTTGGAGGGTATCAACTGGGAGAAGGGCATGAGAGAACCCTCTGGGGACCTGAAAATATGTTGAACTGAGTGGTGACTACATGGCTATCAACAGATGGAAAAGCTCACCAGGCTGTACACTTAAGAGACGTGCGCATTACTATACCTAAGTTAAAGGGGGAAATCTTAAACAGTATCCGGGCTCTGCAATTGCAGCTTCCAGATAAGCCCTTTGGTTGTCCCCACCCTACCCTAGCTCACCACCCTCAAGCTCCTCCCGTGTGGCCTTCCCTGTAGAGAGCTTTGGAAATTGCTACATTCCTCGATCCCAGAGTATGTGTTTGTTTGGGGTTATATAAATCGGACCTGGGGCGCCTGGGTGGCTCAGTCAGTTAAGCGTCTGCCTTCGGCTCAGGTCATGATCCCGGGGTCCTGGGATCGAGTCCCACATCGGGCTCCCTGCTCAGCGGGGAGTCTGCTTGGAATTCTGCCTCTCCCTCTCCTGCCCCTCCCCCCAAATAAACAAATAAATAAACAAAATCTTTAAAAAAATAATAAATCTGATCTGTGGAGGCCACCTGAGGACATCCTTCAGGAGTGAGATGAGACCTCAGCCTACGTGAATGCATGGCAACATCTCTCAGTAGGGGAACCATGACATTTATCTTCCCATCCACGACACTTGGGAGAACAAAAAGGAGATCCATGAACATTTTCACCAGGACGACAAGCATAAACCAGAATGTCCAGGGCAAATGGGTATATAATGCAACTTCTTGATAGAAAACCGGCCAGACGACCAGGAAAGTACACATATTGGGACGAGGGTGACTTGAACCATTTGGGACAAAGATGGGGGTAGAAGAGGAGGAAATGGGCACAGAGAGTAGCCTGTAATCAACCAAGGGTGCAGAGGTGTTATATATAATCGCTCTTCAGGGAACCGGGCCTCCAGCCCACGCCCCAGCTGCTCCCCCCGCCCTCCTCCCCGAATTGACTGTCCCTTCTCTGGAACTCCTAAGCCTGACCCCGCTCCCTGGCCCTCCCAGCCCACGGTTCCCCTGACCCCGCTCCCTTTCCCAGAACTCAGTCGTCTGAGCCCCCAGTCTGTGGTTCACTCCTGGGCCTCAGCCTTTCCTGCCTTCGACTGAAACGGCGGCATCTTCTCAGCCCTGGGGGCTTCCCCGGGGCCCAGCCCGGGGCCTAGAACCCGCCCGCCGCCTGCCACGCCGCCACGCTGCCACCGCCGCTTCCTCTATAAAGGGACCCAGGCGTCCAGGCCCAGGGGCCCCGCATAGCAGGTGAGACTCTCCCGGCCCGTCTCCTCCTCGGGCTGCCCGGCGCTGGACTCCCCTGGGCACCCCGCCCCTCCGCCCGCGCCGCGGCCCCTCCCGTGCCGCCTGCCTGGGGCCGGGCCCCGGTGGGTTCCGAGCGGTTTGTTCCCCTCTCTCGGAGTCTTCATCAGCCAGTCTTTGTTCTCTCTGTCTCTGTCACACGTTCTCTGTTTCTGCCACGATCCCTCTCTGTTCCCTTCCCGTGTCTGTTTCTCTTTCTGTGGCCCCCTGCTCACATTGGGGTTTTCCGGCCTGCACCTTGTCCCCTTCTCTCCTCTGTGGTCCTGGCTCTCCCGTGGCTGTCTCCGCGGGCAGGAGGCCCGTCACCGCCCCGGGCCCCGCCCCGCTCACTGTCTCTCTCCCCGCAGGTTCTCCCCATGACACCACCTGGACGGCTCTACCTCCTGAGGGTGTGCAGCGCCCCCCTCCTCCTCCTTCTGGGGCTGCTGCTGGCCCTGCCGCCTGAGGCCCAGGTGAGGCAGCAGGAGAATGGGGGCTGCAGGGGTGGCCCCGCCAAACTTTGGGCCCTAGAGCCACGCTCCACCCTCTTGTCCCCTAGGGGCTTCCCGGTGTCGGCAGCTCACCCTCAGCTGCCCGGACTGCCTACCAGCACCCTCAGAAGCACTTCGCACCAGGCACCCTCAAACCTGCTGCTCATCTTATTGGTAAACATCACCTGGCCGCCCGGACATGTCGCCCCCAGCTCTCCTCCTACACCCCCTTCAAGGAACCAAGCATCTATTGCACCTCTCCCCCAGCTCCCCCCATCCCCCAGAACAGCGGTATCCTACTCCCATCTGTCCTCCCAGCCATCCCCCAGGAACTCGGCCCAGCACCTACATCCTCAGGGATTAAGAGTGCTGACCCCCAGGTTCTCAACCTCTCCCATCCCTTCTGGCTCTTCCTAGGAGACCCCAGCACCCAGAACTCACTGCGCTGGAGAGCAAACACGGATCGTGCCTTCCTCCGCCATGGCTTCTCTTTGAGCAACAATTCCCTCCTGGTCCCCACCAGTGGCCTCTACTTTGTCTACTCCCAGGTGGTCTTCTCTGGGGAAGGCTGCTTCCCCAAGGCCACCCCCACCCCTCTCTACCTGGCCCATGAGGTCCAGCTCTTCTCCTCCCAGTACCCTTTCCACGTGCCTCTCCTCAGCGCTCAGAAGTCCGTGTGCCCAGGGCCACAGGGACCTTGGGTGCGCTCCGTGTACCAGGGAGCTGTGTTCCTGCTCACCCAGGGAGATCAGCTCTCCACTCACACAGATGGCGTCTCCCACCTACTCCTCAGCCCCAGTAGTGTCTTCTTTGGAGCCTTTGCTCTGTAGAAAAGTCCAGAAAAAAAAAAATAATTGGTTTCAAGATCTTCTCCCCATTTTGCCTCCATTCCGACCACTTCAAGGGTCACCGCGCCTCTCTTTTGATCCTTCCAATAGCCTCAAGTCTCCCCTGCTCGTGTTACCTGGCGCTTCCAAAGAAGGAATTCTAGGCACCCCAGGGGACCATACCTCCTTTCAGCAAACCCCAGTGCTAGGCTGAGGATTTCAAGTCTGCCTAGAAATTCCTGCCCAGAGCTCTTCCTCTGTCCTGACAGTCGAAGGTGGACCTAGCCTTGGACATGGAGGGGTCAGACACCGGGAGAAGCTGGGGAGGACGACAGAGAGGCAGGGGAGGGGGAATTATTTATGCCGGGAAAAACTTAAATTATTTATTTATGGAGGATGGAGGGAAGGGAATAACAGAGGGCCACCGGAAGAGAGAGAAATATGCCTAAGAGATGAAGAGCAAGAGAACATTTGGCATAAGGATAACACAGTGAAAGAGAAGACAAGTGGGGCTGAGACACTGGGGAGCTCTAGAAGGAAGCAAAAAACTCTTCAGATCCAGCCACTGCTTGACTAAACACCCCATGAGGAGACATCTGCATCTTCGATGAAGCCCAATAAACCTCTTTTCTCTGAAATACTGTCTATGTCTGTCTGTCTGGGAGGGGAGAATTTCCCAGGTCTCTCAGAACTGGAAGGAGGACAGGGCCTCAGAAGAGACAGGAACTGTGGACCACAAGGAGATGAAGGGGCCTTAGGAGCTCTGGGGAGATGTGGTGGAATCACAGGGGTGAGGCAGCCCGACCATGGCAGGGAAACCAAAGGATAAGCTGGGAAGAAAAAGATAAAATGGGGGTCCAAGGTCTGGAGGAGTGGAAGTCAGGGGACCACTGGCAGATACGGCCACGTGTAGAGAGGCTCTCGGGAATGGGGGTTACAGGAGTCCTCTGGGGAGAAGTGACCACACCAAAGGGTGTTCAGGACTATGGGGGTGGACATGGGGATCCTCTGGAAGAATGGGGTGGGAGACCCCCAAGGCTGGGGGGTTGGGGAATACAGGAGACGTTTCAGGAGTCATGGTCACACAGAGGGGCTCTGAGGGCTAGGGCTATCTCCAGAAATCCGGAGGGCACTAGAGGTCTTTGGGATACATGGCTACACACAGGGGCTCTGACAGATGGGGCCTTCATGCAAAACTCAGGGCCTCAGATTCCCTTGGAAGCCAAGACTGAAACCAGCACTGCTGAGTCCCTGGTCAGAATGAAAGGAGAAGGCCTGCCCTCATGGGGTTCGTGAATTCCCAGGGTTGCTTTCGCTCCCACTGGGGCTGTCCCAAGCGTGTCCCTGCCATTTACCGCCCCCTCCCCAGCCCTTTCAGAGACCCCATCCACATCCCCTGCCTCAAGCTCCCTTCTCTCAAGCTCTTCAAGATCTTCTCCCCATTTTGCCTCCATTCCGACCACTTCAAGGGTCACCGCGCCTCAACAGATGGAAAAGCTCACCAGGCTGTACACTTAAGAGACGTGCGCATTACTATACCTAAGTTAAAGGGGGAAATCTTAAACAGTATCCGGGC